TATATATATATATATATAAAATGCATCTAGTCTACTAGCACACGTGTATGTGTGTGTATGTATATATGTATATAAACACACATATTATATGCCATATGTGTGTGTGTTTTTAAATGCACCTAGTCCACTAGCCAAGATGACAGACTATCACTCAGATTACCACACATATATTTTTCCATACAACTACCACCTCCTATAAATGGTAGCATTTACATGAGACAGAAGCATCTCTTACAATGACCAGAATACTTGTTTCAATAATCCACAAAGCCACAAAATGAGAAAGACTCTGAAGAGAGGAGTAGATTCCAACACTATTTAACTTTTCTCCCAGATCACTCCTGGGAGCCTAACACACTACCATATAGCATGGGCCTTTGTCCAGGCTTCTGTTTCCCACCTGTACTCCTTTTTCTTTTTCCAGCAACAGTCTGCCTTTGTGCCAATTCCTAAATAACCATAAATTTTGCTCTTATAAACCTTAATGAATGCTTGGCCAAGATGCTGTAACTATTGGCTTCTACGTGGGAGCATAAATGGAATGGGGAAAAAAAAAATGTGCACTGTGAAAAACTGGATAAAATGGAAAAAAGATCACAGCAAACCCAAAGTCGCAATTTGCCTTTAATGTGAAGGAGGCCTTGTTTTCACGGTGTGGCAGCTTTCAGGGGTTTTAATCTCAAAGTGGCTGATCAATTTAAGGTAAGTGGCAGGCATTTGGCCTGGTTCCCAGGCTTTGCTTTGCTGCTCTGAGAAAAGAAAGGATTCAGTCAGACACACAGACAACAGGCATCATCAGCGGCTCCCACATTCCAAGCATTTTAACACAGATTAGGTTGGCATGATTCTACTGTTTACTGAAATCTCCTAGGTGTTGCATTTTCCCTTCTCCTGGCCGTGGTTATGGTTATCCACGATGGTTTTCTCAGGTCGAGACCTTCATATGCCAAATAGCTTGCAGGGCTGTGAAGGGAAAAGAAGAGCAGAGGTCAAGACTTCTGACTACGATGCAATTTCACTGGCTCCCTGCAAAATATGAGACTTCAGTCAGCAGGTAATTGAGCACTGAACTTTTAGTCTGAGGCATACATCAAGACAGGAACTGCTTTACATGCATGCCTGAGGGGGAAAAAAAGAAGATAATTTCTTTAACAAGGACAAACTTAATTCAGCTAGGAATGCCCAGCGGATTAACAGGGTGATTTGTAGTTGTTTTCTCTTCAGATTTCAGAAGCAGGAGTCTTACACATATGTTAAACGAGATTATAACCAATATGGTCCTTTTTTTTTTTTTTGAGGAACATGTTCACATAATACACTCTATTTTTTCAAAACAGCTAATAATAAATGAGTTCAAACAGGCCCCTTATCACTGTTTCATGTGCTTAGCAAAAAAGAATTTTCTTAATCCATTTGACCTATTACCTAAGTTAAATAAAATATTCATTCCATTGATTAGAACCAAAAAAAAATGTATAAATTTTCTCGTATATTTTGGCTATATCATTCTTTATGGAAATTTTATATTTTTAAATGTTTTTTTCATAATTTTTAAAAATACTTTCTCTTACTTTAATATACTCATGTACATATTTCTCTAGTCTTCATGACAGATTTCCTATTTTTTCCTAAGAATTTTATCAAAAACATGAAATACTATAGATGTTTAAAATAATTTTTCATCTATTAAACTTTTCGAAAGCAATGTTGAAATTATTATACTTACTATAACCATAAATGCCTTCTTAACATTTCATAAATTTACATTGACATACTTTCTCCAAAACTAACACATTGTTGCGTTCAAGCAATTTATATTAACAGTACATATTCTCTTTTGTAAGGGTTGACTTAGAAACTAATTATATGCATTTTTTTTCATTTCAGTTTTTACATATTCAAGTGTGACTTTAAATCATATATATATACATATATGTATATATATATATGTTTAGTCAGCAAAGATATATATATCTTTGTTGACTAAAGAAAAACACGGAGGTAGATGAGAAGAGGCCAGCAGCAACCTTCAGCGGCAGCAGCAGATGTCAACATGTGATGTCTGGAACTCCAGCAGCCATCCTGCAACCATTTTCTTTTTATGTTGTTAGAAACACATATTGCAATACTACCATTTCCTGGCCTTAAGATCCTTACTTCCTTAAATATTCTTAATTATTTCTTTGTTAACTCACTTTCTCTGTTCCCTACGGGTACTCTCTCTTTTCAAGTCTACACACTACTGTAAGCTCTGAAAATACTAAAATAAATAAGTCCAAATAGAATTCTGGCTTTACTGCTTGCTTAAAATAATATTACCAAAATTATAATTTAGCTCCATTTGTGTACACTGTGTCAAAATGTATTCTACTGTCATGTATAACTAATTAGAACAATTTTTTTAGAATCTATACTTTATTGTGCCCCAACATGGCAAGATCTTGTATATCTCACTGAATCCTTGCAACAATCCTACAAGGTATTCTTTTTTTTTTTTTAAAGAGAGAGAGAGAGAGAGAGAGAGAGAGAATTTTTATTTATTTATTTATTTTAGTTTTCGGCTGACACAACATCTTTTTATGTGTTTGCTGAGGATCGAGCCCGGGTCCCACGCATGCCAGGTGAGCGCACTACCGCTTGAGCCACATCCCCAGCCCTACTACAAGATATTCTTAATGTCATTTTTACAAGTAAGAAAAGGGTAGCTTAGGAAGATTCGTTTTCCCCTTCTACAGATACAAAGGGGTGAAGCACAGATTTGAACCTAGATCAAAGTCTGACCTCTTACTCTCTTAGCTACTATGCCTGTTTTACATCCTTAGAGCAATAACGGAAATAGCACTGCCATCAGATTGCTTGCAAAAGAATTAACTGAGACTTGAAAGTGATATTAACTACATATATTACCTACTTAAACATAATACCTTCATAAATTTTTGCTACTCATTATCTTAATATCTCCCAAGTTCAACTATAAAGTATAAATATCACCTACTTTATAGAGTTGTTACCAGTATTACTTGAATTATGGCCTCAATGTAGGTAAAGTGGTAGTAGACACCCAACATATATTAGCTCCCTTCATGATTTCCTAAGCTCCCCCTAATCAATTCAAATATTTGCTGCAACATCTGGATTGTTTTCATGTTATGCTCTCCCCGTGGGTAACCTCTTCCCCATCGTGGTTTCAACTATTGTCTCTACACTGACTCAAAAATCCACATCTCCTGCTCACATCTTTCTCCCAACTTCAGCTTCCTGGATATATCTTGAATGTTCCATCAGTTAAAAGACTTTTTGTTGTTAGAAGACAGAGAATTCAATTCTAACTGGCTTCAGCAACTAATATTTTACTTTCTTGCATTAATGCATCACTGAAAAGTCCAGCGCTGCAGCCCCATTTTTATTTATTCATTTATTTTTCGGTGGTGCATTGTGCTGTCTTCCTATAACTTAGGGTTTCACCGTTAGTCCTGTTTTCCTCAAGGCCAGAGGACAGCTGCCAGCAGATGCTGAGTTCTATATTGCCTTATTCACAGGTAGAGAAAACTGCTTCCCTCACCTATGGAGCCCCAGATATTCACTGTCTGAACACCCCTGTATCAATCATTGTGATCAAGAAAAAGGAAAGGGGAGAGAAGGATAACATCAAGAACCAATCAAATACGAATTAATAGATAAGCCAAAGAAGTCTAGTAGAGTAGAAGAAGGAGAAGGGGAGAGGGGCTTGAGGACTGGACGGAAAATGGGGAGGGAAAAGCGGGGGTCGTGAACTGAAATCAATTTCCATGCAATGTATGAGTTTGTTGGGATGAACACAACTACTGTGGATAACTGTAAGGCTCTAATAATAATTTCAAAAAGAAAGGAAGAAAATGACAGATACTGATTGGCCTGGTTTTCTTCTTTTTCATGTTAGGGTATTTTGTAGACCTTTATTTTCTTTGTTCATATTTGTGTGGTGCTGAGAACAGAACCCACTGCCTCATGCAGGCTAGGAAAGCACTCTCCCACTGAGCTGCAGCCCCAGCCCTTGTTGGCCTGGTTCTGAATCGCATGATGTCCCTGAACCTATTGGGATAACTGGGAAATGAGATTATCCTGATTGACTTAGCCCATCCAGGGCTGGCCTTCCATACTGAGAGTCCTCTAATTCTGTTGGTCTAGAGAGTTCCTTCCCTTAGATGAAAAGTAAAGAAAAATCTCTCTGTGCAAGGTGGGATGTTCCTTCTATTTCAGGAGCACAGACTGTGGCCCTCCTGTTTATATATTTATGAGATTGCTTCCTAATTCCTGCTAACCACTGTAATAACCTAGCTTATCTGCAGAACTATTTTTTTTAAAAAAATGGACACAATATCTTTACTTTATTTATTTTTATGTAGTGCTGAGGATCAAACCCAGTGCCTCACATGTGCGAGGCAAGCTCTCTACTGCTGAACTATAATCCCAGAACTTTTTAATAAGAAAGAAGGAAATGGCAGTACCACCTCTTTTTGGCCTCTTACTGTTAATTTTAGTAAGAAGAACATATGTATAGGAGCATATATAGATATGTATATATATACATATACATATATATACATGTATAATTTTATGCGTATGTATAAAATTATTTCATTAATCCCCCAAACAACCCAATGAAGTAGGTGATATTATCCCCAGGTTACAGATGAGGAAACTGTCTATGATAGGATAGACAAAAGTTGACAGTCTTTTGCTGAAGGAAACAGAGAGTAATTATTTTAGCCTTTTGACCACACGTCCTCTGGCATGACTACTCAGATCTGCCATTATAGCATGAATACAGCCACAGAGAATATGTAAATTCCTGTGTTTCCTTAAAACTTTATTTACAAAAATAGATGACCATGGACCTTAATTGCCAACCCCTCACATGGTTAACTAGGTTTTTTTTTTTAAATCTTACTAAGAAGATAATCATTAAGCTATAGTTTATCAAGAAAAACATGTCTAATTAAAAACCATTGCTGCTTTTAAAGCATTTTAACGAATTATATTAATGGATTACCTAATATTTAAATACATTTTTTTCTGCAACAAACTTTATTTGGTTGCATCATATTCTTATTTTAATATATTTTTATGCATCGGAGAGAAATGAAGGCACAGGATTAAAAGATCTAGATGCAGGACAAAAGGGAATTGTAAGTAATACTCTACATGTGGTTTTGCTATGGAACGTTTCCTGATTTCTAAATGAGCATATATGGGCAAGAGGGCAGAAACGAAGCAGAGTGTAGGTGTTAAAAGGTGAGAAAGCTAAACAGAGATTTAGGCAATCTCAGGGAACCAAGGAAACAAATATTGGAATTCAGGGAGCATCAAGGAAAAGAGGGGCTAGGAAACTCCAGGCTTTCAGTTAAGACAGTAGAAAAGATACACCCTAAGAGTTGGAAACTCAGAAGTAGATTAAGATGCTAGATTAAGGTGTTCTGCACATTCAATATCTTCTTTTCAGAAAAAAATTAAATCTACTCTGGAAAACATTACATCATCCAGAGAATCCACAATTTTTATATAAATTTCTGATAGTAAAATGCTTCCATGAATACCAGGAATCAGGCCCCCCTCAAAAAAAAATCAGGGGAAAAAAAACAATAAAAATAGAATCATAGGTGATCCAGACAATGCAGTTATTAGACATTGATTTCAAAATCATAGCTTTGATTAATATTTTGAAAAGGAAAGAGATGAGAAGATAAAAGAGTTTCATGAGGGAATAAATTGAAATATTTTTTAAAAGTGTCAAACACTGCAACTGAAACTTAAGGAGCTACTGCTTTGTGTACTTCAATGTAGTATCAAAGATGAGTATTCGCCATTTTCTGAAAAGACTATTAAAGCATTCTTCTCTTTTAAATTACATATATGTCTGAGACCAATTTTTTTTCAGATACCTCAGTCAAAACAACCTAATCATGACAGATTGAATACAGAATATGTATGAGAATCCAGCTGTCCTCAATTATACTGGGCAATAAAAAGATCTGTAAAAATGTAAAACAAGGTTACTTTTTGCACTAAATATTTTTTGTTTTAGAAAACAGTAGCAATATTTTCACTTAAAATACATTACATAACAGTTTAACATATGATGGTTTGTTATTTTTTAATGAATTAATAAACATTTTTTAAAATTTTCTCAGTTTCCAATTTCATTATAATAAATATCAAGTGGTGTCACACACATTCATAAAATCTCCTTAAAGTACTCAATATTTTCTAAGAATGTTCCTGAGACTAAAACATTTGAGAACAGTCATCTACAGATTTAAGACATTCACAATGGAGTAACAGCAGGTTTGGAGCTTGTTTGTCTGTGTATGTAGATCAGCAAGCTGTTTTTAACTTCATATGGAAATGCAAAGGATCGAGAATAGCCAAGAGAATTGTGAGAATTAGTTAACAGCTATAAAGGTTTATTTTAGAGTTACAGAAACTGAAAGAGTGAAATATTGTTATAAGAAATAAAAACAGACCCAAAGGACAGAATAGTCCAGAAATAAACTATATATATATATATATAAACAAACAAATATATATAAATATATTTGTTTATTTAACTGGATTTTCAACAACAATGCTACTATAATGCAGTGGAGAAAGGATGGATTTTTCAACAAATTATACTATATTAATTGGTCTACATCTTTATCACTGTCTGATGTGTTCAACGTTTTGAATTTTAACAGTTCTAACAGATACATAGTGATACCTTGCTGTAATTTGAAATGCTCTAGTAACATATGACATCCAATAAATCTTCTTGCATTTTGTTTGCTATGTGTACATTTTGTTGTTGAAGTGCCTGCTCAGATCTTTTGCTTGCTTTATAATGGGTTTTTTTGTTTTCTTATGAGTTTTTAGAGCTCTTCTTATATTTTGGATTCAAGTCCCTTATCAGACATGTGTTTTACAAATATTTTCTCCTAGTCTGACTTATCTTTTCATTTTCCTTAAGCTAATAATTTTAAAAAATCTTAAACAGGATATTCTCCTATATGATTTTCTGGAAGCTTTAGTGATTTACCTTTCAATCCACCTGGAATTAATTTTTATATATGGTATGAATTGGGTCAGGTTTCATATGTATTTATGCAGATCTCTCATTCATTGCTGGTAAGTTACAAAATGGTGCTGCCACTTTGGAAAACAGTTGGAATTTTATTACAAAGGTAAACATTGTCCTACCACATGATCCCACAATCACACTCCTAAGTATTTTGCCTAAATGAGCCAAAAATGTATGCTCCAACAAAGTCCTGTATGTGAATGCTTAGCACAGCTTTATTTCTAATTGCCAAAAATTGGAAGAAAATTAAGCAAATGGATTAATAAACTGTAATATATGCCTATATATATGGAATTTTATTGACAATAAGAAGAAATCAGGCACAAGCAGATGTGGAAGAAACCTCAATACATACTGCCAAGTGGATGGAGCCAGCTTACAAAGGCTACTTGTTATACAATTTCAACTATTTGACATTCTACAAAAAGCAAAATGACAGGAACAACACAGTCAGACCTGGTGGCACACACCTAAAATCCCAGCTACTCAGAAGGTTGATGCAGAAGAATCACAAGTTCAAGGCCAGCCTGGGCAATTTAGTGAGACCTTGTTTCAAAAGAAAAAATAAAAAGGAATGGAATGTATCTCAGTGGTAGAGCACCCCTTGACTCAATCCCCAGCACCAAAAACAAACTATGGAGACAGTAAAACGATCAGCAGTTACTGGAGTATATTAGCATTCTCCAGGGAAAAAGACAAATGGAATATTATATATGGGTTTATTATGGCAACTGGCTTATGCAATTATGGAGCTGGGGAAGTCCCAAGATGTCTGTAAGCTAGAGAACCAGGAAAGTCAGTGGTGTAACTCAGTGTGAGTTCAAAGGCCTGAGAACCAGGGGAGCCCCTGATGTAACTCACAGTCCAAGTCCAGGCCTGAGAACTGTCAGGGCTACAGGGTAAGTAAGTCCTGCAGCTTGGAACTCCAGCCAGGAACTGCAACATTGGCAGCAGAAGAATTTGGATGTCTCAACTCATGAAGTGAGAAAATGAATTCACCTTACCTCCCCCTCTCTGTTATATTAGACCCTATACAGATTGGATTATGCCTTTCCATATTGTTAAGCACAGTTCTTTATTCAGTTTATGGATTCAGCTGCAATCTCTTCCTCCAAGCATCCTAACAGAAATACCCAGAAATAAACCAGGCATAGTAGTACGCCTGTAATCCCAGGGACCCAGGAGGCTGAGGCATCAGGATCCCAAATTCGAGGCCAGTCTCAGCAATTTAGTGAGGCCCTGTCTGGAAAAAAAAAAATAATACTAAAAAGAAAGGTCTGGATATGTGATTCAGTAGTTAACTGCTCCTGGGTGCAAAAAGAAAAAAGAATGAAACACACAGAAATAATGTTTTAACAGCTGTCTCAGTTTCCCTTAACCCAGTCAAGGTGACACATAAAATTAAGGATTGCCCAGGGGTTGGGGACATGGGGGAGGAGTGACCAATATGTAAAGCTCAAGGAACTTTTAGGGCAGTGAAAATATTCCCTAAGATACTATAATGGTAGATACATTATGCATTTGTCAAATCCCAAGAAAACCATAAAACACAAAAAAGAATCCTAATGTGAACTATGGACCTAAGTTAATAACAATGTGCCAATATTTGTTCTTCAGTTATAATAAATCTACCACACCAATGCATGAGGTTAATAACAGGAGAAATTAGAAAGAGAAGGAGTGTTTGAGGATATCTGTTGTTTCTCCTCAGTTTTTACCTTAAACTGCTTTAACAAGTCTATTAATTAAAACAACATGTACTAACCATAATAGGAATGATTAATCATTTTACCTTCTTAAAATGTGAAGCTTCTATTCTCTGAAAGACACTATTAAGAGAACGAAAGGCAAGATGTAAAGTGGGAGAAAATATTTGACATGTTTAAATCCCATGAAGAATTCATATCTGTACCTTGCTTTATAAATTAATAAGGGAAGACAAACTCAATATTTTTCCTAAAAGAGAAAAAGACTTTGGGTTGGGGTTGTGGCTCAGCAGTAGAGCACTTGCCTAGCACGTACAAGGCCCTGGGTTCAATCCTCAGCACCACATGTAATAAATAAATAGAATGAAAATATTGTGTTCAACTACAACTGGAATGGTGACCATTAAAAAGATTGATAGCGGGGCAGGGATGTAGGTCAGTGGCAGAGTGCTTTCCTAGCTGCACTAGACCTTGGGTTCAATCCCCAGCATCATTTTCTTTAAAAAGAAAAAGAAAAGTACCAAATGTTTGTGAGAATATAAAGCAGCAGAAATTCATAGAATATTTGTGGGAGTATAAATGGGTAAAACCATTTTGGAGACTTTGTTACCAGCAAAGTTTAAGATACACCCCATGACTTAGCAATTCAACCCACAAGTTTATGAGTTAACCCCAACAGAAATGCATATGTATGTACACAATGGATAGTTACAAGATTCTTAGCACATTATTACTATTAGCACCAAAATGAAAGCAACCCAAAAATTCATTGATAAAAGAATAAGGTATGATATATATATATATAATAGGAATGATTGATCATTTTACCTTCTTAAAATGTAAATATATATATATATATACATATATATATATAGAGAGAGAGAAAGAGAATTGAATACTATGTAGCAAAGAAGAAAGCTATTTCTACATGTAACAACACTAATGAATCTGAAATATAGAACATTTAGCAACAAAAATAGTGCATACTATGTAATTTTATTTATAAAAGTTCAAAATCAGACAACACTAATTTATGGTAATAGAATAGATATATATTATATATTATATAGTGGTTACCTTTGGAGGGAGTAACATCAGGGTCAAAAGTTTGAGATTGGTCTCAAACTTTTGTAAGTCTTCCAATAAATACTATCAAACTGCTTTACGGTTAAAAAAATTGAATTTTCCCAAGATTACATTATCAGTCATGTATTAGTATTCTCTCCATCATCAATAACAAAATACCTGAGACAATTAACTTACAAAGAGAAGAGGTTTATTTTGGCTCACAGTTTTGAAGCTTCTACTCCATGATTGATTGGACCATCTGCTTTGGGCCAGAGGTGAGATAACACATCATGGCAAGAATGTGTGATGGGAAAAAAATCACTCACCTCATCAGTGAGGAGGTAAAAGGGAGGAGGAGAAAAGGGCCAGCAGGGTTCCACCATCCCTTCAAAGGCATTCCCCCAAGGACCTAAGGACCTCCCACTAGGCTCCACCTCATACAGGTTCTACCACCTCTCAGTTACACCACGCTGGGGACCAAGTCTTTAACCTGTGGCCCTTTGGGGGACACTTATCCAATCCATAGCATGATCTTTATTTCCACTTAAAAGAAGCTGATGGTTTTATTAAAGCAAAAGGGAATGTATTTAAAAGGGCATGGGATAACTTCCAGAATTGCTAGAATAGCCAGGTTGAGAACACAGCAATTGTGAACACTATTTCAAATCAAGTCATGGAGTTGGTCCAGTGGGAAAATGCTCTTTTGTTATCCCCCTTGGGTGGTGTGACCCATTCTGCCACCCTATCTCTGGAACCCAGATACGACCAGTAGCAGAACTGCCCTATTCTGTTGGAAGTGTCAGTAACTTCTGCCATTGGCACTACCAGCAAGGATGACACTCAGTCCCCACCACACCAACTATATTAAGGGCATAAGATGCATGCTGTGGGCCAAAGAAATAATGATAGACACACTTAGAAACCCAAGTCCGACAGGTGGCTAGGAGGGATTTCAGCCCAGTTGGACCCAACACCTAATCAAGCTTCTCTCCAAGCTCCTGGGGTTACTTTACACTATTAATAACCAGGTAACACACACAAGCTCAACACCACCTCATGCCACCATGTGGTTTATCAGAAAACTTCAAAAACTTCATCACTTGGCTGATTGAGAGAGACTACTCATATGACAAATTGAGTTTCTAAAAATCACCAAGTGCTCTAATGAGGGCAGACAGGGAGGACCCGATTGATGTGACAGCTCATCTGAGAGCCATAACTGCACCATGTGGGGCCATGTGGCTAATGCTGACTCAGAGGAGCGGGGAAGGGGGGCCACTTCTGAATCACCAAGACCACATCCTGCCCCTCCCTCGTCTTTTCCCCTGGAAGCTGCCAGTGTCCTTGATGAGCTCTCCACCCGAAGCACGAAGCACAGCAAAGCTCAGGGATCTGCAGCAAATGTCTGTAGACGTTAAAAGTCCATGTTCCAGGAACATTTGGCCCTGCTTCTTTCGGTGGCATCTCTGTGTGAAGTTGGCTGTGACTAAGTGTGAAGGCTGTATGCAAAGACCCGGGGCTCAATTCAGGCCGTTTACTTTTCACTGTGTTTGGTGGGTACAAGCCACTCTGCAGCGTCACATACACATGCCTTTCAAAGAATGGTGTTAGCTCTTTTCAATCAGAGAGAACATTCTTACACACACAATACCTGCTAAGTAACGACTTGGGAGAAACGTGCTCATTCTGAGAATTGGGTTATAGACTCACATTTCATGATCATCAAAGACTAAACAGCATTTCATCTTGCGCTGATTCATCTTAGAAAAATGTGTGGTAGGCTATTCAAAATCCTCTCCGTTTACCTTCAAATCAAGAATAAGAGAAAAGGTCAATTCTTTTCTTGGTTAAAGGCAATTTAGTAAAAATTGCATCTCTTGGGGATTTCCTTTTTATTTCTGTCTTTCTCTTTCTTTCTTTCTCTTTGTCATTTCCCTTCTTTCTTTATTTCTTTCTCTTTTTAATTTCTTTCTTTCTCCATGGAAGACAGTAGGGGAATTTAGGAATAGAAAGTCTGTGGTCGTCAGAATAGTATAGAGAGAAATTTGAAATTCAGACTAGACTCTGAACTTCATTTTGTAGGCAAGGAGTAATTCATAAAGGTTTTCGATCTAATTTATTTTTAACAATTTTTAGTCAAATGTAACAAACAAAAAACCATGGGAAACATAAGTACATTTAGTAAATAAATAAATAAAGCAAAAATTATACAACCACTGTTCATGTCAAGAAACGGAATGCTGGGCTGGGGATGTGGTTCAAGTGGTAGCGCGCTTGCCTGGC